TTTTTTTTTTTTTTTTTTTTTTTTTTTTTTTTTGAGCGATGCTAGTTCGGATATTTGGCAGAAAATATTCAGATCACCAACTGATTAAATCATCCAGTTGTTCAAAAACAAAACAAAAAAAATACAATGAACAAAATAACATTTTTGGGGCCTCTTAGTGCTTATAACAACCAAAATATGAGTTGCAGGCAGAAAATGTGATTTTTTTTACAATACTTTGTCCTTTACTGTTAACTTTACAACAGGGAGGGTTTTTTATGTACAAAATCATGCAAAAAATGCATTAACTGGTGAATTTAGCTTTAGGCCATAATCAATGTACCGGTATATATTTTGGTAGCAACAACAGAATCTAAATCTCATCACGTTAATACTTACATTGTGTCTTAATGGGCATATGAGAGGATTGAGAAGCATGAAATATCCACAGAATAGCTGTCAGCCATGCATGTACTTTACTTCCTCCCGATACCATTTGAATAGTATTTACCTTAGTAATTTTTCACGAAGAAGTAAGATTTTAATTGCCGTTTAAATGGAAAGTCAAAAATGTTCTTTACAATTATGTGATCTATGGGCCCTCACTAGTCTAAGCACAGTATTCTGATTAATATTGTGTTTGTGGAATATCTAAACTCACCTCAGCTGTATTTACAGAGCACTTTAAAACAACCACTGTTGTATACAAAGTTCTGCACATGAAGCAAAAAGAATGCATCCAACAACAAACAATAAATTAATAACAAAGACAGTAGAAAGCACAAAAACAGTAAAACTAAAAATTAAGTCTCATGCCAAGTCAAAGGCCAAAGAATAAAAATGAGTTTTAAGCCGACTTTTAAAGATTGGCAGCAAGTTTACCTAACAATATGAATTAAGCAGAAAAATCCACTTGTCTTTATCTATCTCACGGGTGGCCAACTTTCCTTGTACAGCATCTTGCAGTCGACTGAAAATAACATCACAGTGCTAAGGTAACGACTGGCACATGACCAAGCCCAACAAGAGGTCAGCTTTGACAATCAGTACTTCATTTGAATACCGTGTTTAGACAAGTGCGTGCGCATAAAACGTATTTGTAATTCAACGTACCACTGCACATTAATAAAATGACATGGCATATGATGACCTTTTTGCTGACATTGAGGGTGTTTTTTGTAATCGAAAAGGCCAATGCAGTTAGCGCAAGTACTGTACATGTCCACTGTCGTCTCAAATGGTTAACCATCTATATTTGGTATTTAAACTTCTACTTGCAGGAATAAATAACCCCATAATAAATGGTTTATATGGCTCCAATATTGGATCTCATTAGATTGTGCAAATGCCCGAGATGTCTGATTATGTGGTACCCAAAAACCTGCCTTGCTCCCCCCCAAAATAAATAAGATTTAAAAAAAGAAAGAACTATCCAATTCCTTTTTTTTCCCAAGTAGATAAAAGTGTAACCTCTCCTTGCAGGTGCGTCAAGCGGGAGAAGCTGTTGTGGTTGCAGGTGCAGTGACCTTCGGTGTTCTTGGCATTGCAGCTCTGATGACAACTCTGCTCGGAGACAAGAACAAGCGCAAACAGTAACTCTCCCTCTCTCTCTCTCTCTCTCTCTCTCTCTCTCTCTCTCTCTGACCACTCGCTCTCTCACTGTCTCGCCCTCCCTGTCTCTCTCTCTCTCTCTCTCTCTCTCTCTCTCTCTCTCTCTCTCTCTCTCTCTCTCTCTCTCTCTCTCTCTCTCCCCGCTGAGCATAGCAGCTGCTGGAGCACCACAACCACTTGGGAGCCATACTCAGGGCTAACAAAAAGCAAAGAAATACGTGATATGAACGATATTTAAGCACTGAGCGTTCCGTGCAGATTTCAGGAAGCATAGTTTGTAGAGACCGGTTGATATGTTTTTTTTTTTTTTTTTTTTTTTTTTGAGCGATGCTAGTTCGGATATTTGGCAGAAAATATTCAGATCACCAACTGATTAAATCATCCAGTTGTTCAAAAACAAAACAAAAAAAATACAATGAACAAAATAACATTTTTGGGGCCTCTTAGTGCTTATAACAACCAAAATATGAGTTGCAGGCAGAAAATGTGATTTTTTTTACAATACTTTGTCCTTTACTGTTAACTTTACAACAGGGAGGGTTTTTTATGTACAAAATCATGCAAAAAATGCATTAACTGGTGAATTTAGCTTTAGGCCATAATCAATGTACCGGTATATATTTTGGTAGCAACAACAGAATCTAAATCTCATCACGTTAATACTTACATTGTGTCTTAATGGGCATATGAGAGGATTGAGAAGCATGAAATATCCACAGAATAGCTGTCAGCCATGCATGTACTTTACTTCCTCCCGATACCATTTGAATAGTATTTACCTTAGTAATTTTTCACGAAGAAGTAAGATTTTAATTGCCGTTTAAATGGAAAGTCAAAAATGTTCTTTACAATTATGTGATCTATGGGCCCTCACTAGTCTAAGCACAGTATTCTGATTAATATTGTGTTTGTGGAATATCTAAACTCACCTCAGCTGTATTTACAGAGCACTTTAAAACAACCACTGTTGTATACAAAGTTCTGCACATGAAGCAAAAAGAATGCATCCAACAACAAACAATAAATTAATAACAAAGACAGTAGAAAGCACAAAAACAGTAAAACTAAAAATTAAGTCTCATGCCAAGTCAAAGGCCAAAGAATAAAAATGAGTTTTAAGCCGACTTTTAAAGATTGGCAGCAAGTTTACCTAACAATATGAATTAAGCAGAAAAATCCACTTGTCTTTATCTATCTCACGGGTGGCCAACTTTCCTTGTACAGCATCTTGCAGTCGACTGAAAATAACATCACAGTGCTAAGGTAACGACTGGCACATGACCAAGCCCAACAAGAGGTCAGCTTTGACAATCAGTACTTCATTTGAATACCGTGTTTAGACAAGTGCGTGCGCATAAAACGTATTTGTAATTCAACGTACCACTGCACATTAATAAAATGACATGGCATATGATGACCTTTTTGCTGACATTGAGGGTGTTTTTTGTAATCGAAAAGGCCAATGCAGTTAGCGCAAGTACTGTACATGTCCACTGTCGTCTCAAATGGTTAACCATCTATATTTGGTATTTAAACTTCTACTTGCAGGAATAAATAACCCCATAATAAATGGTTTATATGGCTCCAATATTGGATCTCATTAGATTGTGCAAATGCCCGAGATGTCTGATTATGTGGTACCCAAAAACCTGCCTTGCTCCCCCCCAAAATAAATAAGATTTAAAAAAAGAAAGAACTATCCAATTCCTTTTTTTTCCCAAGTAGATAAAAGTGTAACCTCTCCTTGCAGGTGCGTCAAGCGGGAGAAGCTGTTGTGGTTGCAGGTGCAGTGACCTTCGGTGTTCTTGGCATTGCAGCTCTGATGACAACTCTGCTCGGAGACAAGAACAAGCGCAAACAGTAATACAAAACAGAAAGGACACTGCCCCTTGAATTCAGTGATTCACCAGCAAAGCCTCACGCATACTGTAAGCAGTCTCATAAAAAGGGATTCACACTCACTAAATAATGTCATACTTTTGTCATTGTATCACCTCATAAATAGGAGCGATTGCAATTGAAACAATTGAAATTTGTACTGTTTTTGAATTTAAAAAGAGTTTGACAAGAATTTGAAACCTTTTTATCTGTTTGTAAGTCTAAATAAAAATCCATGTAATTAACCTTAGAGGACGGTGGTCTTTTTTTTTTCTTTCCATGATTTGTCTGTATGGTCTCTTCTTTTAAGTGTGTAAATTTGGCAAAATTAATTTTCTAAATTAACAACTGCAATTTGCCTCGACAAGAACACCGACGTATGCAAAGACGCATTGATATGTTTATTTCAGAAGAGATCACATGCATGCTACATAATTTGCAGTCTCTTTTTAAAGGCTTCATTTGTTTCTACTTGCTAATGTGTCAACTCTTTACATCCACGATTGATGGTCTCAGCAGCAATATCATCCTGAAGCCAAACCATCCAGCAGACATGATTTTTCCATATTTTACTGGGAACATGGAATGTGTTCCATACCATTCAAAACTGGGATGCGAGCCAACAGTCTTGTCCAGCAAAGTAAATGAAGGCACACAAATAAAAAGTGAAAGACAGAAGTGAATCTCCTTCGCTCAGAACCACAGTCAGCAGGTTTGAAGAAAAAAAAAACAGCTGAAAGTAATTCTTTTATGTAAAAAAAAATATATATATATTTGTGTGAAAATTTATGGAACACGCTGGGTGCACTAGATATACAAGAATGCAGCTTTTCAAAAGGAAAGGAAAAATGTCAGATGATAGCATTTGTCCATCACAACATTCGTGGAAAATGTAAGCCAAATTGATAGAAACATTTCCAAACCGTTTGTATGCTGCTGCTACTGTTGTTGAGCTGTGCAATCAATTGAGTGTTTAGCATTCCTCAAGCGTATTCTTGTACTGAACCTATCAAATGACTTTGGTTCAAATGTAATTGGTCATTCAATTTCTTGATTGGCCTCTAAAAGTGCATGCACAGACTGATAAAGCCAGGAACAACAGTGTTTGTGAGCTTCCTGGAAATGATGAAACTCATTTATATATATTTGACTACATGAAAAAGTATCTTTTTAAGACAAGATGCTCCATTTTATGTACATTTACAACAGCGGCCCTTTTATCAGGAGGAAACGGACATATTGTGTCATCAACTCCCAATTGCTTTTTGCCTCTTCCCATTCACAATAATACAATGCGAGACAAACTAGTGATTGCTGCGCTGTCAACCACCTCATCAAGTTTCTGTGATGATCATCGGAGGATCCAAAGGTATGTTGTCCAAGTGAGTGACAGTTCAAAAAGAAGTTTCCACTCCCGTTGGATCTTTACTCGGAATGTGAAGCCTCCAACTCAAGGGCCTTGTTCAGTCAATGGCGCTCATGGCTATACCTCATTAAACGGCGCCTCAGTCTAGTTTGCGTGCACCCAGCTTGAGGGGACCTTTTGCAGCTTTGCGCTCTGCCCGTTTGGCCTCCAGCTCTTTCCTCCTCTCCTCACGTTTCTTCTTGGACAGCTCGGCCTTGCTCAGACCTGCTGGGCGATACACAAACCCATCTGTATGAAATACAGGAAGTGGTGCAAGCTAATTTTAAATCACTACTGCACATCAAGACTAAGGGTAGGTTCTACCCCTTCACTGACATATCAACTTTACCACTGCAAAATGACGATGATAAGCGGTTGAAGTCAGTTCATCTGCAATCATGTGTTTGGGGCATTAACAACATGGATGCCTCACTGAAACTAAAAGCAAGCTAGCAGCAGTGCCTGACGTGTTTGGAAAAAATCTGACAAAGCAATTTTGAAAATTATCTAATTGTGAAAATCCCACCCCACGACCCTCAGTCATGTCATTGTGATTTAATATGTGGTTATATTTCTTTCCCCAGTCTTCTTCCCATGTATTTTTTAACATAAGTAAGAAATTAATATGAGACAATACACAATATCAGATATATTATAAATGAATGTTTTGATCCTAAAGTTTAGGGTTATGCTAAAATAAAGACAAACCATTAGTTTAGATAAATGACAGTTTTTATGTACTTCAATTAGCATTATTAACTTGCTCACAAAACTAACTTACAGTCAACAATGACTCCCCCCAAAATTTTACCAAACAAGTGTGGCATAAACATAAATCAGTAAATCATAAATCAGATAACAATAATGGAAGCAAATTTTGGGGGTTTACTCACTTCAGGTTTTCATGTTTCATGAAACAATGATATGTAAACATGCGGATTACAGTTCTTATACACTGAACTTATCGAGGCATTAAATAAAATATAGATGTATCTACAAAAGAAAGCCGACCCCGCAACAGAGGACCGTGGAAAAATTGAGTGCACAAGCTTGTATTTGGAGGTGGAAGCCAGTACAACGAGTTGCCAACTGGTTAAAGTATTGACGCTATCAATTAATGGACGTTGACTACAAGAAAGTTTAACCCGAATTGAATTGGAGATCGTAGAAAAACAAAACACACACTTCAAGTCTCACCTTGATTTCCATCCAATGCCTCCCAACTTTCTTCAGTGCCCCAGTCTCCCGTTGCGTCTGTACCCCAGCCACCTCCAGGCTAAAAACAAGAAAACACCACATTAATCAAAAACAGTAACTGATTTACCATAATAATAACATGCCCTTACAAAGCGATTTTTTTTCTCTGAAGTCGTGTAGAATACAGTCCCACGATTTCCTGGTATCCTTTATTATAAGAGTGAATAATATGAATTAATAAAAATTTAAAACATACCGATCGAGCGTAAATGCTTTTAAATCCTGGTTAAATTATGCGCTTGCCCCCCATACCTAAAATTAAGGTCTTTCAAAAAAAATAAAAAAAATCATCAGTCGAAAATCTTGTTGCATTGTACGTTATTTTACTAATTAGAGTAAGCTTTTTTAATTCCCTTCGTTTGCTTTTAAATCTCTTCAACGCTGTTTTTAACTACTTGTAATTACAGTATGTGAAGCATATGGAGTTCTATTGTATGTGCACACACACACACACACACACACGCTCCCCAGGTAACGAATGAGATACATTCCGAAGGATCGTTCGCTGGCTGAATTCGTACGTAAGTTGCTTCAGTGCTATATTTTGTATGGAATGTATGTTTAAGGCTTATATAAGTGCAATAAAATGAAGTTTAACATACTTTTGGAAGATGTACTCGAAGGCTTAAGGAGATGATGGAGAGGGGGAGAGAGTTCCGTCTCGAACTTCTTCATGGGGACAAGTGTTTCCTCCTCCTCCTCTCACAGCGCCTCACGTCGGTATTAGCGGCGGAAAGAAGTACTACAGTACTCGGAAAAAGGCGCGCAATACAAAATCTGACTGACAGCATCTCTGTCCGAGAACATTTTTCGACATACCTGTACCCGCAAAAATGTTCGTATGTACCGTTGTTCGCAACACGAAAGTTCGTAAGGCAGGGAGCGCGTGTATCTATAGACACTGAAACAATTACATTTTTTTGTCTCTTATTCAGACCCATGTATAATATACCCCCTAGAATTGTAATTTTGAGTGAAATGTGGTCGAGTAGGACTAACTGCTACCCGTCGTCATGGTCCATGCGGCTCTACTGATACTAGAGATGCATTTCATCTTCAACCACACACCCAAAAGTGACAGCAAGCACACTACAGGTCTCTCTCACTCAACAGAGGTGACAGATAGAGGGAGAAAAATTTCACACTCGCTATACAGCACAACATCACCACTCCTTACTTGGTCTGAAAAGTCAGTAAATCTAGCAACAAAGTCAAATGCAAACACAGAGCAGCAGTACTGTTCTAAGAGATTTTGGTTGGTAGCATCCCATAGGGCACTGTGTCGGTGAGAAGCAGAAAACTGACAAATGTTTTTAGTGCCAAGTGTGGTCAAGGAACAAATTAAATTTGTATCTCAGGACACCACTGTATTTAAAGCATTTGATTCTTCCACAATTAAAAAAAAAAAAAAAAAAAAAAAAAAAAAAAAAAAAAAAAGGTTTTATATGATTCTACATGCTTACCGTGAGGCCCGTGGCGTTTCTCTGTGCCACACAGGCGAATAGGTCATTCTGATTGGCTCCTTTGCTCATACTGCCACTGTCCCAGTTGTACTCGCTGGCCAAGCGGACCCCCTCAGGCAGGGCGGCACTTCCAACATCCGTCTCCTCCTCGGTCCATTCGTTGCCCCAGCCCTCCTCGCCAGCGGAGCTCTGACCCTGGCCCTCTTTCTCGTTGGACCAGCTGTCGTCTGCGTCCCAGCCTGAGCTGCTCCAGTCTGAGCTTTGCTTTTTCACCGTCGTGGTAGACAATGACCTGCCCACCTACATGTGTTGCATCATGGTGGTCGCAGTATCAGCAAGTGAGTTTAAATGAAAAAAAAAAAAAAACTGTAACAAAGAAGGCAAGCTAAAACAAAACCTACTTCGTGTCCACCAGTGTTTTTTTTGGATGATGCCATTCCTGACCAGTCAGTATTCCAGTCATCCTTCTCAGCTCGACCTTTCTCTGAATCCTTGTAGTGGGGGAAACAGCTTACTGTGGTGCCCAAGTGTCAAAATTCGAACACTGCTAACAAATTATACATATTGAAAATAGGCCCAACCTCTAAACTCCCCCAATCCTCCTCGTCATCCCAGCGCTCTCCTGGCTCCTCATCATTTTCCATCCCTTCAAGAGTTTGTGATCCGTCCACGAGGCTTGAAGCAGAAGGACTGAGGGCCTGGGATGTATGTGGACCTTTCTCTACAGAATCTAAGTTGAGGAGAGAGGAGAGAAAATCATGAAATGGACACGTGTGACAATCATATTTAGGTCCTGCATTTGCATGCTGCATGAAAGCGGGCGGGGACGGGGGTATGGGGGGATTCTCCCTCTGGGTCTTCTTACTTTTCAGCAACAATGTCCTATTCCTGACTGACTTTCGGTTGGTCGGTTTGTTACTCACAAATTCACCTCATCCCCCTTTTTATGTGGAACCTAACTCAGCTATTTGCTGAAAAACTCACTAATATTGGGGGGGATTATAACGAGAACATGACATTCAACGTTGAAATCTCTCGCATTCGGCGAAACACGTGCATTCAAATACAGTTAGACATTTTAAACTGAAACAGAAAAAAAGTCCCTTGATGCAGTAAATGTCAATAGCTACAAATCTCTAAATAATGTGGTCTTTCTATCAATCTATAATCGTTGACTTATCTAGAAGAATAATGGGGGTGAAATCACTGTGATTTTACTTAATTCCTACCAATGGTCCATCTAGTCACTTACACTTGGCCTCTATCCTTCAGTTTAGAGTTTGGAATGTCAAATAATTATTCAATGAGATTTTATATTTCCCAAAGGCTTAATTAATAAACAACAAATATTTTGGAGGCCTAAGACTTTTGTGAAGTCCTGTATATAAATACAAATATCAGTAGTACACACAAAAATGTTAGTTTCTTTGTGTTCAATTGCTCAAAAGTATTTGAAATTGTCCAAAATGTATTTTTGAATTTTATCAAAAGTATGCTAATCAATATCCTTGTAGTATTTAGAATTAACACAAATAAATCAAAATTGAAGTTGCTCAGCTGTCAGCTTTTTTTTCACTGCTTTATGTTGATGTTTTAAGTTTTTGCTGCGGTATTGTTTCCTTTTTTTGTCTTAGTAAAAGTTACATAAAATAATTCAACAGTTTTGTCAGCCTGTGCTTGCTGCAGATAAGGTTGTGGCTTGAGCAAAATATTTTGCAAATATATATTGAGTCACTGTCAATATTTACATCATACAAAACTACGATATACCAAGTGAGACAACAATACATCGGCAAATATGGACATGCTGTACCGCTCCAAAAAAGGTGCCACCAAATCCTGTGCTGGTTAGGCGACCAAGTGAAAAAGTCTGTTACCAATGCTTAAGTTAGTGTAAAGCCCTGAATAATTGATGTCAAGATGCTTTACCAGGAGTATTATTTATTTTTCATTTTTTAATCAAATCCTCTTTAAACCATTTATTTTTAAAGGTAATGTTGCAAAGTGGGTTTGAAATGATACTGAAGTGTTTTGGGATTATAGTCTGATATATTTACGTTTCCAACTTTTCTAATGAGCATTTCTACTTTTTTTATTGCGGGGTGGGGTGGGGGGGGGCGGTGGGGTGTTGGTCAACTACTCACTGCTTTTCACTATTTGCAGCAGAGCTCGGCCTCTATCAAGGGCAGTGGTACAGAAATGTTTCATAGTCATCTGCGCCTTACCAGGGCTTCCACCTGTGCCGGGAGTCACGCTGGTGGCATTTGAAGCCATGCCGTCCTCAGCCGCCACGCTTCCCACTGTCCCTGGTGCATTGCGTATCAATTTGGATGTCAGCGAGGACATGCCAGTCACAGCCCAGCCAGTCCAGCCGGAAGAGGCGCCAGGTGGCTGAGCACACGACCCAACATCCTTTTCTGTTAAACACAAGGAATTGTGAGTTCATCATCTTTTTTTTTTTGTTGCCTATTTTAGAATTGAACTCAGCTGTATTCGTGAGCAAGTCCAATTTGTTTTTTCAACCGCATATTGTTGAAATAAATTGACAATAAGACATTTCATTCTTGCAACTAAGACCAAATCTTTATCATTTCTGGGTCAGCATTACCTCATCCATAAAGACTTGGGCTTTGGAGATGGAGGGCATCGGTTTCAAACGCCAACACAGATTTTAAAAACTGGTAACTTGTTGGAGAAACTACTCTATTTCCTAGTTACAGTCGTGGTGCCCTTGAGCAAGGCACCATGCCTTCTCCTGATTCTGTGCCCCTTTCACTCTGACATCTCATTTCTTTGCATGCCTGCATGTCTGTGTTGAACTTCCCCTTGAGAGATTATGAGTAAAATAAATTAAATTAACAAAGCATAATCCTTGGCATATCTGGTGAAACAAAAATATTCTGCGTTGACAAAGATGAATTCATATTCAAATTTGATCATTATTGATTGGCTCTAATACAACTGTAATGTATGTTTAATTTTGAAGTTGGTGGAGATTGCTATTGCATCAGAATGATAAATTCTAAACAGCTGCAAGAAAAACCATGTGAATCCTTTGGAATTCCCCGGATTTCTGCACAAATTGGTCATAAAATGTATTCTGATCTTCCTCTGAGTCACAACAATAGATAAACAGTCTGCTTGAACTAATGCCACACAAACAATATGTTCTCCTGTATTTTTATTGGAACACACAGGTAAACATGAAGATTAGAACACATTTCCTGACCAATTTATGCAGAAATTCAGGTAATTCCAAAGGGTTCACATACTTTTTCTTGCAAATGTAGTCAATTACAAACGCGTCCGAGATCTGGTCACAAGTGAGTAATATCAAAAAAACAAAAGACAACTGTTTTGTACCAATCTCAGCAAGCTTGGTGGGATCTTCTGACACAGTTTCCAGCTTGGAGATAAAACTCTTGATGGCTTTGAAAGACTGACAGAGATCAAAGCAAGCAGAAAATCACATGACAAGGGAAAGCAACAGAAATGACTGAATCATGCATGAAGCTCCAAATGTGTGTACCGTATTTTCCGCACTAAAAGACGCACTGGATTTTGAGGGGCACCTTCAATGAATGGCTATTTTGTAAAAAATGTTCATACATTGGACGCTTCACACTACAGGGCGCAATCTACAATGCCTCCACTAGATGGTGCTACCGCTCCTTCCATTTAACTCGAGAGGCGTCGTTCAACTTGAAAGGCGTTCACGACCGCCTCTGAAAAATGTAAATTAACTATTACTATATTTAAAGGAAACTACAAAAATTGAAAATAATGCATCAAAACAGAAAATCAAGTGAGGAAATCACAAAAAAAAAATCTATATCCCCCCTACAGAATTTATTTTGTGATTTCCTCGCTTGATATTCTTCGTGGTTTCATTGAAGTAATAATTAATTTACGTTTTTTCGGAGGCGGCTATGAACGCCTCTCGAGTGGAACGGAAGAGAAGGCATGGAGACGGGACAAAGACGTACAGTACCTGTATTTGTTCAGACTGTGAAAACCATTAATAAAGTCTGCGTTTAAAAAAATAATAAAACCACAACCACAGCTCTCCTTTTTTCAACAAATACAGGTGCGTCTTTGTCCGTCTCCGTGCCTTTTCTTCCCGGTCAACTCGAGAGGCGTTCATGACCACCTCCGAAAAACGAAATGGCATTTCCTTTATCGTAGCTCCAAGAGTAGATCAGACAAGATAAAATAAGAAAACCTTTAATAGTCTCACAATGGAGAAATTCCCACTTTACAGCAGCAAAGTTATGAGAGGAAGAAGTAGAAGAACAAAATAGGAGCTGCTGGAAAGGCAGCCAATCTCGCGGCGCCATCTTGAAGTCAAAATAGCACAAGTTATCAGTCGAAGTTATTTATTCCTTTGTTGTGTATTCATAAATGATGAAATCACAATATAAATTCTGTAGGGGGGGGCTATAGAATTTATTTATTGATATCCTCGCTTGCTTTACAGTTTTGATGTATTATTTTCCATTTTTGTAGCTTCATTGAAGCAATAGTTAGTTTACGTTTCTCGGAGGTGGTCTTGAACGCCTCTCGGGTTGAATGGAAGAAGGCACGGAGACAGACAAAGACGTACCTGTATTTGTTGAGACTCTTTTAAAAAATGAACACCACAGCTCTCCTTTTTTCGGAGCTGCAACACAAACTTATTTAATAAAGCAGCGACACAGTTCACTGAACCAACAGCAAGTTATAACATTGGAAGCATGTCTCCAGGAAGGAGCCATCTTGGAGTCGATGTATTACCGTAATGACCAAACACAAGACGCACCGGATTTTAAGGCGCTCGGTGAGATTTTAAGAAAATTGAAGACTTTTTGGTTCGCCCTATAGTGCGAAAAATACGGTACTTAAAAGTGAAAAAGTACCTGCTCTCTGACGCTCTTGTCAGGGTCGACGGTAATAGCACAGAGTGTGGGTAAAATTCGGGCAGCAACCTCGGTTAGGCTGTAATAGTTGTGTGTGGCGGCGAAGCCAAGCACACCAGCAGAACGCGAGGCTGCAAATGGGTCTTTCGTTGCTCGTGAGAAGGCAGAAATCAGAACTCTCTGTCGGGTCTGTGAAGATAAGGACCAGTTGCTTGGTATTATCATTTATTTTTGAGTGTCTTGAATGTGCCTGAAAAAAACCATGACGTGCAATTGTCTAAATTGCTTACGTTCTCTATTTTATTGGTAGACACTATTTTCTTTCTTTCTTCAACTCAACTGTATTTATAGAGCACTTTCAAACAGCTATCGCTGCACACAAAGTGCTGTACATGGAGCAACTGACATATACAACAGTATAGCAACAAATCAGTAACAAAGACGGTAGAAAGCACCGAACAGCAAAACCAAGATCAAATCTGAGTCATGCTGAGTCAAATGCCAAAGAATACAAGTGAGTTTTGAGGCAGGTTTTAAAGATGGACAGCGAGGAGGCTGGCCGAATGTTCAGTGGGAGGTCATTCCAGAGAGAGGGACCAGCAACGGAAAAGGCTCGATCCCCTCTCAGCCTCCGTTTCGTTCTTCACATCTTTAACAGAGTTGAAAAATGTTTGTGTAATGCAATGACAATACAAAACAATTACATTTTCTCCAAAAGAATAACTGAAATTGAATTTATACATTCCAGGCCTCGACCTTTCACCTCACCATCTGAAACTTTAAAATACTGAATGGTTCGTTTTAAGTGTTTAAGTAAAAAGTGTGTGTCGTTAACTCATTCACTCCCAAAGACATATTGAGGTGTCTTTTCAGACGCCACACATTTAATCCCACCTCCTCATTTTATGTTGACTGTACTTAAAAAGGGTCTGAAAATGGCCAGTACAGTCAATATAAAATGAGGAGCTGGGATTAAATGTGTGGCATCTGAAAAGACATCTCAATATGTCTTTGGGAGTGAATGAGTTAATTGTTTCCTAAGTGCAAAAACAAGATGCAAAAATAAAACTGTTTTGAGATGTGAGGCAAGCTTTACCTCACTCACAAGTAAACAGATGGAAAACAAACAGATCAGTTGTATCTCATCTCGTCCTGTTTTCAAATTCTCGATTATTTTTCAATTAAGGACTTCATCCTGAGATATCATTTCGAATTCCAATTTATACGACCGCCAAACGTTTTGAGCTCTCAGTGTTGACTCTTCTATTGTTTTGCAATCTTTGCGATTGTGACTTACACCGGCATTGAGGTAGGAGGCGATCTTTCCCAGGCAGACAGTGGTGTTGCATCGGATCGGGCCCTGCTCATCCCGAGCCTGCAGCCTTGCAAAATGGCGCATGAGCTCCTGGTTCAAGTTGCTTTCGTTCAGTTTGGGAGCCAACAACAACATAGACTGAGCAGAGCAGGAGGGAGAGGGAGGGAGATGCTGCATCAGAAAAACGTCTGTAGACCTTAAAGTAACAATGTGGTTGCATTTGGAGTGAGCACATACCTTAACCGTTTGCTCTCTGATGGCAGGGTTGGTGTCAGTAAAGCCGTGAACAACATGAGGGAAAATTTGGGAATTCACAGCTGCCTCGTTAAGATATTGAATAAACTGCTCCATCTAGAGGCAGAGAGAAGAGAAAAAAAAGTCCAGTCGTGCCTTGAGATAGGAGTGACTTAAGTATTTTTCAAAATACAAGCTGACGTGCGGCTAATTTTTTGGTGCCTTCAAGCTCAGACTTGGAATACGAGCACTGTATGGTGGCAGTGAACTCAACTCCCTTCATAACAATGACAACTGTGGCAAATAATGAACAACTCTTTATGCTGTTTAGTGCCACCCCCGGTTGAAGTTCACTGTCAAACTAAACATAAAACAAGAGAATTACACCTTGTGTGTTGAAAACAACCACACATCTTAAGAGTTCACTTCACCAGCTTAATGCTAATACTAAATAGCATCTTTGTTGTTGTGCAATAATTGAAAGGTACTCGGTCATAAAATCTTTATCCTCTGTGAAGAGCTAATAATGGTGTCGTAATGGTGAGATGAGAGGAATTGATATTTCTCAATGAGCAGCATATCAGTCTATTTTGTCTTATACCACCCACAAGTGGCCAAGACAAACACTCCAGAGAAAACCGCACAATGGCCTGTCAGTCGATGCAATGTGACAAAAACTGTTTAATTCTTTTTAATCAAATCATTACTGTGTGTTTTTAGAAAGTACAAACCCAACTCCAATGAAGTTGGGACATTGTGCTAAACATTAATAATAACAGAATAATGACTTGCAAATCGTGTTTAACCTCTATTCAATCGAATACACGACACAGACAAGATATTTAATATTCAAACTGATAAACTATTTTTTTTAGCAAATAATCATCAACTTTGAATTTTATGTCCAAAAAAGCCGCAACACGTGGAGGATCGTAAAACACTTCTTTGGAACATCCCACAGGTGAAGTGGGAACAGGTGGGTGCATGACTGCATAGAAAAATAGTTTCCCTGAATTGCTCAGTCATTCACAAGCAGAGATGGGGCGAGGTTAAGTTCTTTGTGAAGAACTATGTGAGAAATTTGTCAACCAGTTGAAGGACAACATTCCTATTGTACAATTGCACAGAATTTAGAGATTTCATCACCTGAGGTTATTGAAAGAAAAGGTAATATAACACAGTGGTAAACATGACCCTGTTTTTTGGAACATGTTGCATCCATAAAAATCTAAGTTAATTATTTGCCAAAACCAGAGATTATCAGTTTGAACATGAAATATCTTGTCTTTGTAGAGTATTCAATTACATGTACGCTGCACATAATTTGCAGATCAATGTATTCAGTTTTTATTTATTTTTAACCCAACATCACAACTTCATTGGAATTGGGTTTGTAGAGTGATAGTGGGTGCTATACATGGAGTGTCTATTACCGTTAGTATTCTGAAAATACTCCGCCAGCACTGCTCCTATTGGATGCACCTGCTGACATCACTGTTATAAACAAGCCATACACGAATAGACTTCGTGTATGGCTTGTTTATAACAGCCCTCCAATATGGCCGCCGGTAGTGCATTGTGGGTAATTGCTAAAAGGACGGAGCTCCCTATTAGAGGAGCAGAAGATTTTGCTGTAAAAGCAGTTTGATGCTTCAGAGCTTCTGCAGCACAAACATTACACGGATAATGTAAATGTTATTGTTGTTTGTTCACAGTCGTGCAAGAACTGTGACAACTACATCATTGGCGAAGGAAAGACCCATATTGGACTGAATGGAGTCAGGGTACCATGTAGTAATAAACGGCATAAGAACATCATTTTGCACAACTCCGACACGTAACATAATTTACTACTTCATGAGTTAGACATTGGTGTTTAATGGGCAAAACTTTGACTTACATGGATTCTTTTTAAAAGGGCTAAAATTGCATGAGAAAAATCAGCTGAGCAATTCATCGGTTGCACCCTAATTCTACTAAAGAATATATTAGCCCATGGGACTCAACTGTTAGGTCCGCATGAGGGAGAGATTTTGCTACTGTGAACATGCATTAAGTACCTGCTGAAGCAGTCGTATTCTCATGGCCCTGTCTGTGGAGGAAAACATCTTCACAATGACGGGGATGATCTTCTGTTGGTATTCTTCAGCAGACAGGAACTTCCCCACCTAGTAGACATTTTTGAAGACACTTGAGCTCAAACGCTCCTTCCAAATGAGTTCTATGTCGGAAATACATTTGTAAGTATCATGTTTGGAATTGGTTGAAGGCTCTTGTTGATTATCCTGGCAGTGGTAATGCTCAATGTAAATTTCATCAAAGGGCATAGCTCTGTGTTGCAAAGAAATCTGCAATACATATCACCACATATCTTGCTTCTGTCATTGAAAAAGGTAATTACGGAAACCTGGGATGTTTTGTTTTTTTTCTCATGAGAAAAGGAGGCGTCAGCCAGCCACGAATTAAAGGCCACAATGTATTTCAGAGGACACCTCTATTTGACAAAATAAGGCATTTAACTTGCGAAGCTGTTTGAGCCACTCTGGCATTAACAAGTATTCAAAAGAGACATAGGACTGACCTTGAAAAGTGGCGTGAGGACTATGGCGCCGGCGTTTCCAAACTCGAAGGCAGTGAGCAGTTGAGGCAGGACTTTGTGTTTACAGAAGTCCTCTGGGAAAGAGTCCAGGTTGTCACTCAGGTCCTGGAAGAACTGCTGCTTCTCCGCCGGCTCCTTAATCTTACAAAGGGTTATAATCCAATGTTATTTGACAATTTATATAATCAACGAGTGAAAGCATAAAGATGAGGTGATGAGTAACACTGAAGATTGTTGTGACTTTGTGGAGCTGGAACAAATATATATGGAATTTATGTCAAAACAAATCACTGTTCTACGTGAGTGGCTGTGTTTTTATGTGAGAATGTGCACCTGGATCTCCTCCAGGAAGAGGTTGCTCTCCACAAAGCTGTTACTGAGGAACCCTCCGGGGCTTCTACAGTTTTGGAGGAAGCGGGCTGGATTGGGCCGAGCCCGTGGATTGGCACCCACCAGCTCACAGTAGTGAGGAACCAGAGCCTTGGGGATCTGTGAGTACAGAGATGACCATGGAGCAAACTGAAGCACACTCGTAACATAGCAATTAACTGGGCTGTCACTTAATGGGCTGTCACTTATGTCGCGCTTTTCTATCTTTGGTACTAAAAGCGCTTTACACTGTGTCCTCATTTACCTACTGATGGTGCAGCATAGGAGATAATGAGGGTTCACTATCTTGCTCAAGGACACGTTGACAAGGTTGCAATGAATTGAACCCCCAACCTTTGGGTTGGGAAATGACCACTTCATCACTGAGCCATGCCGCCCCCGCAATCACAAATTTGCAGCAACACTTGGACATCAAGGCTATAAAAATGAACTCAAGTCATTTCATTTCTTGTTTTAAACAATGTATCATAGCTGAAACACCAAACACTGAATCAATAAAACTTATGAAAATAATTCAAAACAGTGATGAAAAGAAGTCTCCCCCTCCAAAAAAACCCCACGACAAGAATTACTGAAATGAAAATAAATCTTTTTAAAATATAATATGGCACAATTTTAAGCATTCTTTTCAGATAAATGTCATTGTCAAATGTGATCCACATAACTACTCCTTTGTTAGATAATTCATCACTTTAAGCATATTTTGTCTGGTTTGGCGGAAACCATTTTTGGTAGTAGGTTATTGCAAACTTGTTACAATGTTGGTCCGAGATTAATTTAAATTGGGTGAAGGAAAAAACACAACAGCTTTTTCAGAAACGAAATATAGTATTTTAGTATTTGAGAGTGCAAGATAACGTTGAAGATTAATAGTCTGATAATGAAAAATGACAATAGTATTCAAGTGACTAACCTTCCCGAGTGAACGAAGTGAGGACGTGCGGGAAAGTGGCCCATTAAATACTTCCCAGATCAGACAGCCTAACCGCCACACTTCCCTCGCCCTGCAAAAGAAAAAAAAAAAAAAAAAACAACACCTTTTTTAAAAAGTGGAATTGTGTTTGCCAGTACTTCATCTATTTCGTACATTGTCTGTTGCAGTCATGACAAGACCTGAAAACATGCTCTCTCCTGGAATTTCTCACCATTTTTCTCCACTGCAATTGGGTGTCTCAGGTGGGTCATACTTCTCCATGTCCGGGTAAATGGACTTTGGATCAGGAAGCGACGCCCCGCTTGGATCACATTGTTCTGGGGCAACATGATCGAGTGCCCCCAGCTTCCACTCTCCTGCTCGGTCGACAAAGATGGCCCACAAGCCCAAGTTGTTATGGAGCAGGTGGCAATCATTCACCAGGAAACTCAGAGCTTTCTGATGGAAATACAAACAAATAAGTTGAGTCCAAGTTAAAGGGCACTTGAAGAGGGATGCCAGGGGAAAGAAAAAAAAAGCCCAATTGACATGACCTAAAACATAAAAATAAAATGACTCACTATTATCTGATGCAGACCCCAGGAGACCTCCAGTTCACTAGGAGCACCCTTCAGGTGAACGACTAGTGGCGTCACTGGTTCAGTGACCAGGTACAAGCTCTTGTCCGTCTGGAATGAGATTCGAAATAAGACAAAGGTGACAAAGGTCACAAATCTCAATAAAAGCACTGAAAAAAAACCTAATCAAAAATCATGATGCATGATGTATTGCCTAAAGTAGCAAATGAATTGAAAAGGTTTTATGGCTCTTTCAGGGCACAGTTTCATGACTACATTACTGTAGATCAGTGGCTCCCCAACCACTGGTCCTGTGGTACCAGGCCACACATATGTAATTATTTGGAAAAAAAAAATCATATCAGCTGCCACCGCCTCTCCCCATTACAGGAGCACCAAGACAGGCAACCCATCAAAGTATTTTGTATTTAATTTTTGTCCCGGTTGCCCCCATTGTTGGAAGTCCTCCCTGAGCACTGTTAACTGTGGTCATGACTGTGGGTGTGCAATTCCAGGGTTCCCACTCTTCCACTTGCTTTTTATTTGTGGACCTTTTAAGGACTTTTGAGGGCTAATTTAGCCATTTTTAAGGACTTTTTCTCCATTCAGCAGGGGATTCACGGTGGATTTAATGAACAGAAAGCCAAATATCACTGAGCTGGTGTTCAAATCATTGCTGCCAAAGGAAGGGCACATGTTTATTTTTAGGGGCATTCAGCGAACCCTTTATTTGACATACTGTATGTCAAATTGTCCCGAAATGACCCGAAGTGATCACGTGATCATCGTCGGAACTGATCGGAGATGGCGGGAAAAACAGAGCGGGAACTCGGAAGGCATGTAGCCCGACAGCGGGGTTTGAGGGGAAGGGAGCCAGGCGCATTTTCCGACAAAACAATTCATTGGAAGGGTGGGGAAAATTACATACACAAATTAAATGAACACCACAGGTTAATTTTTAAGGATTTTTATTGATTTTAGAAGCTTTCCTAGAAAATTAAGGACAATTAAGAACATAATTTTACAACTTTTTTATGGATTTCTATGAACTTTAAGGACCCGTGGAAACCATGTTGACCCTCACATGACAGAGTAAACACGCACCTCCAAGCCGTCAACGTAGGCCAGGATGTTGGGGTGGCGAAGGGTCTTCATCCGCTTGAAGGCTGCCTTTGCCAGCTGTGCCTGTTGTTCTGACCCCTGAGCCACCTCGTGCATGAACACAGACACTGGCTCTCCATTGGACTGAGAAGAGAAAAGTGTGAAATTGAGTACTCATACGCAGGGTTGAGAGGGTTACTTTTCAGAACATATTTCAATTCAGTTACTACTAGTTTCCTGTTAAAAGAAATGTATCAGTACCTGTTAAAAAATGTACCATACTTAAATTATGTTGACTTGATTACTATTAAATCTCTCTCTCAATTTCGATCATCACTTGAAAACTGGTTGTACAACCAGATTTTCAATGGTATTTGTCCACTGAAATTTTTTTTCTACTTTTGTTTTTCCAAATAACATGCCTTTTATAAATAAATGGAAGATGAGAGTAAGCTGGCATTCAATACTACGTTGGGATTTATCATCAGGAACATTTAAAATTTGATATGATGACAACTGGTCAGTGAGGATGACACTGACAGCTGAACGATTATGGCACAGTTGGGTTTATCAAGATCAAACGTGCGGAAACACACACAAAATATAATAATAGAAAAATCAAGTCATAAAAGTGTATCAGTCGTGGCTTTTGATGCGGCTAACACTGGGTGACGTGGCGACAAATACGTGACCGGAGTAAGATGTCATTTCTTAAAGCGATTTTGGTACGACGTTTAAAATTAAATTTAGAAACGACCCACCGAAATAACAAGACAATGTGCAACATTTAAAAGTAAATTGGTATATCGAACAAGTGTTGTGATTTTAGTGGGCTTCAACAGGCCGAAACTAGCTAAGTGTTGGCTAAGGATCGGGAGAGGTATGTATCTTTTTACCTTTCGCTTGCCACGATGTAATGACCATATTCCAGACTTTTCTTGGCTGTCTGGAAGAATTTCATAAGCGAAGTCTTTGACGGGATCCCTGGCAAAAAAGGACCACATCTCCCCTTTCGACCACACTCCTCATCAAATAAACATACCCGATACCAAGTGGAGTAGAACTGCGAGCTTGTAAACGGAAACCGCTGGAAAAGCTTCTGAGGAAACACGGGCTCGGCATATTGGTTCCGTTGTCATGCTTTTTAAAAATAAAATAAATTAAAAATAAAATTATATATATACATATATATATATATATATATATATATATATATACATACATACATACATACATACAC